TTTTTAAGATTGTTAAATTGCTGGAATTACGGTAAAAAATGAGAAAGCTGTTTATTTAAACTTGCTGCCACATCATCTTAAAAAATATTTAAGGTAAAAATAAAATTAAAAAATTTGGCGCTAATTTGTCCTTAATTTTTGGTTTACGTTTATGGTTTTATTTGTGTTTTTAAGCAATTAGGGGGTTTTCGAAAATTTTTTTTATCTTTTATATTAATAATTTAAGATAGCCCATCAAAAATGACAAGGAATGAGAATTTTTTCCTTACTTTTATGATAGTTGTTACGAAAATAATATCCAATTTTATTCTTTTTACCCAATCCCCCCTTCAGGTCAGGTTCAATCCATTAAAATTAAATGTAAATACTAAGGTTTGAGTTAAATATTTAAATGTTTTACTTGATAATAGCAATATTATTAGTTAAATATTAGTGATCACATATGCCTAATATTTAATATTAAAAAAATTCCCAAGCAAGGTAAAAGCCATAAAAATTTTTCCAAGCCCAATGAAAGATCATAATAATTTTGGTAGTTGAGAACTAAAATAAAATATTTAAAAAATCAAAATGAATTTAAAAATACAATCAAAATCAGATTTTCATGAGCCTTGGTTTTTTGATCAAGCCAAGCCCAGGTCTGCAAAAATTTTTTTTTTAGGCCAATGTCTGACTCATAGTTAATAATAAATAGAATTCCCAAGCATCGCTGATAATAATTTTTTATAATATTTTCCAAGCCAAACCCAACCCAATTTTATATAAAAAAAATTTCTCAAGCCTGGCTAACCCATAGTAATTTTGAAAATTTTTTCTCAAGCCTGGAGATAGGTAAATCTCTAAAAACCATATTTATTTTTTATTCTTTTTAACCCTTCTCATCCCTACTTCAGACTAGGCCAACCCATTAAGACTAAGAGTGAATACTATTTTTTTGAGTAAAAATATATTTAAATTAGCTTTTACCTGAGAGCCATATAAATATTCTGTGTTAAATATTGCACCTATGCCTAATATATCTAATATTTCCATGCACTTAGGAAAATTTTCTCAAACCCACCAAAGACCATAATAATTTTGGTAGTTGAGAACAGAAATAAAAAGTCATAATACATTTAAAAATACAATCAGAATATGAAAGTTGCATGGGTCTTGGTTTTTTGATCAGACCTGGCCATGTCTTAAAAAAAAATTTCAAGCCAATGCCTAGCCCATATTTAAAATTAAAAAATTTTCAAACATCTAAGACCATAATAATTTTGAAAATATTTTTTCAAGCCAGGCCAGTTCCAATCCCATATTAATTGTGAAAAATATTTCCCAAGCCCAGCAAAATTCATAATAAATTATTTTTTGCTTGGATCCAGAAAAATAGAGTATCAAATCAATCACTTTACAACCCGACCATCTCAGATTTTGCTGAAATTTGGTATATAAGTTAATGAAGTGTTGTAATTGACGAATCCAAAATATTAGCCCCTTAACTCTACTAGAACCGGAGATATAGGGTCTCAAAGTAGCTCTGCGAGGTCATTTTTCGAAAAAAATGATTTTTTTAAATTGGGATAACTTTAATATTAATTGTAGTATATTTATCTATCATGGCTCATTTTATAACCCTAAGTAAACTCTTCCACATAATGGAATTAATTTTTAATTTATAAAATTTTAATTGCGGTCAAAAATTTGTAATTATTTTTTTTAAATGTTAGTATAAATTTTTTTTTCCAATTTTCAGATATTTTGTAAAGAGTATCAAGAACTGTTCATATAAAAATTTTCAGAATAGTAAAAAAGGAAAAGTAGAAAAAATCCAAAAAATAAAAAAACCGCTAGATGACGTTAATAATTTTAAATAGCTTAAAATTTAATTTTTGAAAATATAAGTCATTGTTGAATAAAATCGCATTTTAGCACAATAAAATTTCCGCTAGATAGCGCAAGTATTCTAAAATAGATAAATATGATTTAAATTAATTATCGATTTTTCGATTTATTTCCCAAATAAATTTATCAATTCCAGTTATCTATTTTTACAAGAATTTTATCTATTTTTAAAATTAATTATTACTATTTAAATTTGAATATCATGATTTGTAAAAATCCTTTTAATATAAAAAAGCATTTATCAAAGAACGGACTCCTTGAGGTATGTCCATGGATGTCTGAATTTTCTAATATCAACATTGAAGATTATATCTGTTGCGTGCCGCTTAACTTTATATAAATATAAAAAGGAGGATATTCCAATTTACGAGGAATACAACATTACTTCAATGAAAATACCACCATAGAAACAAAAAATTATGAAAACCCACAACTCTTTTCATCTCTCTTTGAATCCTTAAATTACATTATTAGATATTGGAAAATCTCCAATTAAAAAAAAGAGATTAAAAGAAAAGAGATATCCTAAGCAAAAGCTTGCAAGAATTTCAAAGGGAATAGGCGAAATTCTTCAACCAGCTATGGAAATAAATAATAGCAACGATTTGATGATTCAAAATATGAAAAATATACCCTTTCTTATCTAAAACACAAAAGTATCTTTTATTAACCACGTTACCTCCTAATTGGAGCATACAAAAAATTCATTTCAATAATAGAAAATGAAGAAAGAATTACTGTACAAAAACGATTACTTCTAAATAATTTAAAAGAAATTTATTTACATAAGGATGCTTACCCCGATCTTAAGATAGGATTTTCTACGTTTGCTACCTTGCGCCCTAAAAATTATATTATGCCTGGTTCAAGTGGCAGTCACTCGGTATGCGTTTGCCGCATACATCAAAATGTTAAATTATTACTAATAGGGAGCAATTTAGCAACCTTAACAAAAAATAAGGATTTTGAGATAAAGACTTACAAAGACATAATTCCAAAAATGATTTGCAATCCTCCACTGCCAGCCTGTTATTTTGACAAATGTCATAAATGTCCTAGGGACCAAGCATTAAATATTATAGAATAAATAAAAATACCTACTGACATATTTCACAAAAATGAGGTTTTTTATATCTATTTTAGATATTTTAGAATACTTGCGCTATCTAGCGGAAATTTTATTTTTGTTCTAAAATGCGATTTTATTTAACAAATATTATATTATAGGATATGAATAAAAGGTAGATTGACTTATATTTTCAAAAATTAAATTTTAAGCTATTTAAAATTATAAACGCCATCTAGCGGTTTTTTTATTTTTTGGATTATTTCTACTTAATTCTTTTTTTACTACTCTGAAAATTTTTATATGAACAGTTCTTGATACTCTTTACAAAATATCTGAAAATTGGAAAAAAAAATTTATACTAACATTTAAAAAAATTAATTACAAATTTTTGACCGCAATTTAAAAAATTTTTTTAAATTAAAAAATAATTCCATTTAAAATATGTGGAAGAGTTTACTTAGGGCTATAAAATGAGCCATGATAGATAAATATACTACATTTAATATTAAAGTTATCCCAATTTTAAAAAATCATTTTTTTCGAAAAATGACCTCGTAGAGCTACTTTTGAGACCCTATATCTCCGGTTCTAGTAGAGTTAAGGGGCTAATATTTTGGATTCGTCAATTACAACACTTTATTAACTTATATGCCAAATTTTAGTAAAATCTGAGATGGTCGGGTTGTAAAGTGATTGATTTAATATGGAATGACCCGTTTATAAGAATTATATCTGTCTAATTTGTACATTTTTTTGCCATTTTATATTATTGGGAATATTTTTCAAATTTATCATCAAACATCATTCTACTGGTTAGCTCCTGGTATTTATATGAAATTCATGATTACATATTAAAGTACCATGGCAAAATCAGTGAAAATATGTTCATTTTAATTTTAAACAAACCACCACCCCTTCAAATAACAAATGATTTATTAATTAGGTATAAAATATAAAATTAAATTTAAAACATTGTTATTAAATTACAATAGAAAAAATATAAGTTATTCTAAATTAACAGAGGTTAACTTCAATCAGTCAAATTATATATAAGTAAAACAAAAAGGTTATACATTTAATCAAAAATGTTATAAGTTATAATGACATACCTTCAACAATTATGATATACAAAACTATGGAATGCATGTAGAAAGGCCAAATCTTCAAAAAGATAAGAGAGGTATTCAGTTGAAAGTTGCATGCATAACATGGATTATCCTATACGATAGCCAATATGGTAATAAATGGCAAAATTTTAAAAATATCAGCTATGCTAACGGCAATTGAATTGTATTAAATAAGAAAACCAAATTCTGCTTTCATGATCACAATTCCATTGATTTTCCAAGTTGCTAAATTACAGACGTATTATATTTCATAAAATTGATAATTCATAAACATGGTTTTTAATTTAATTTATCCATCATCAAATTCATCATCAAATTAAGGAAAATTCTAATTCTTTATCAAACTTGATGTTCTATCAGCTAGTAATAATATAAATGCAAATATTTACTTATGCATAAAAATTGCTTAATTTGTTCTCCAGAGTTTTGATTAAGTTTGTATCTTCTCATAATGGATCCATTCTTCAATAAGATCTTTATTGTAAGAAAATATATTTGATAATTTAAACATTGATGCTGTAAAAATCTAAATATTAACCCTCTGATAAAATTGCTAGGAATTTATATTTATTGATAATTTATCTAAATCTGAGGTATCTTGACCAAAAATACATATTCACACCAAATTTAAGGTTTTTATGCTCAAGGGTTAAATAGTTTTTCTTGTTAACACTGTTCCCCCATCAATAGCATTATCCCGGTCTCTACTCTAAAAAAAATGTATTGTTAAACTGCTGTTTTACTAACATTTGCATAAAAATCATTTTTTTTTTAATTTTTAAAATTTTTTAGTTTTTATTTTTTGAAAAAAAATTGTTTTTGTTTTCCAGCTCGCTCTTATCATTTTTATAATAAAATTATATTAGATTCAGAGCCGCTAATTGATCATTATATTATAACTATTATTATTATTGCAGATGTATTCGACAAACCTGTTATGGCCGTGGGACTTTGCTGAAAAATATTTTTAGAGTTAAAAAGAATCATTCCCACGAACAAGATACAGAAAAGTATCTTGACCTACAACTTCGAAATTTAGTTAAAATAAATAAAAGACCTCGTAAAAATAGAAATAGAGAAACCCTTTCTAAAACTGGCTCAAACAATTTTAATAAATTCTAATTACATATTGTTAGACAATAGACATTTTTGTATTCGAGCGAAATTGTAATATATTTTTAAAAAAATTTAAATCAATTTTTGGAAAAAGATAAATAACTTATTGACACATAGCCCACCATTTTAATTTATTCATTGATATAAATCCTATTTTTATCAATTTAAACAATTATATTTTGATTTAAGGGTTTAATTATTTATTATACACTTAATTAATTTTTTAAATAAATCTATACGTAATACATATTTTATTTTCAGGTTCCAAATATGATTTAAAATTTTGCTTTGGTCTTAAATAAAAATTTTGTCAGTATTATATAAGATTTAATAGTAAATTTAGTAGAACTTTTGAATTATTATAAGCTGCTAGAATGATGTACTTAGAGCCACAAGTTGCCCTTACCGGACATTGAAAATTATTTTCTTGGCTATAAGAGGCAACCCGACCCGACCAGAATTAAATATTATAAAATATCTCCCCAATAATCATTTTGTTTCATCGGAATGTCAATCAGACTTACTATCATTTTCATCTAACACATTTCACTTACGTAATTTCCATTTCCCAAATTAACAATTTCCTGTGATTTGTATTGTGATTAGTTAAAACTCTATTACCTATATACATCACATTCTATCAGTTTAAAGAAAAAAAATATAAATTTTACATTTGGCCAACATAAAATCTAGATTATTAATATGTTATTATGAATTATTTCCTTTTGATTATATTTGCTTTAGCTAAGATCTATTCAATTAAATAGCCATTTATAAAATTGTTTGTAGAATGGATTCAAATTAAAAAAAATTTTTTGCAAAGATTAGAACTCAAGAATTTGAGACCAAAGAAAATACAAATAAAAAATCTGAAGTATGAAAATTTCTATTATATTTAATAAACAGTTTTTTAGACTGGCTCTGGTTGGACTGGAACAAAAAATTTGAGTTTGGGCACGGCTTGGGTCACGAAAAATTAGATCTCTAATATACCGTAAGCTCCTAATTGGGACACGAATTTTAACAACTATGCTAACATTTGGTACCTGAGTTCCATGACCAGTATGAGAGACCTTCATGGGCCTATATTTTTTGATCAGTCCTGCAATAAAAAAATTTTAAGCCTGCCCATATATAATAGAAAAATTTCCAAGCTCATAATTAGTTTCAAACATTTTTTCCAATTTGTAATTAGGTAATTATTTTGTCTGCAATACTGAAATTTAATATTACTAGAAGAAATTTTTTTTAAATAAGCAAAATTTAAATGAAAATATTTTAGACCCAAGCCCATTAAAATTTCAAAAACCTACGTTCGATAGGAAATATAATACACCTCTAGAGGGTCTTTGCTCAATACAAAGGAAAAGAAAAAAAGACTCTTCTCTTCTCTTCTCTTCTCTTCTCTTCTCTTCTCTTCTCTTCTCTTCTCTTCTCTTCTCTTCTCTTCTCTTCTCTTCTCTTCTCTTCTCTTCTCTTCTTCTTCTCTTCTCTTCTCTTCTCTTCTCTTCTCTTCTCTTCTCTTCTCTTCTCTTCTCTTCCATCAGAATCGAAAATATAAAAAGACCTTTAGTGTTCGAAAACTATTTTTTTATCAATTAGTTTTGGCAACAACAAAAAATAAATCGAGTTATAAACAAGGAAATATGATATTATGCTTTAAGTGTGAAATCAGCCAAGCTTTTAAAAATATTCGTTATGAAAATTATACCAAATAATGAAGTAAAAGCAAAATAAAATTTTTAAAAAGAAAAACGAAATAAATGACAATAGAGGAAAAAATAACGATGTGTCAAAATACTTTAAACAAACCAGGACTATAAACTAGTGTTGTTTAAAAAGCCGAGTTGCTTAGGCTCAAGCCGGCTCAGGAGTTGGCTCAAGTCTAATTTTAAGCCAAAATTTATTTATTTATTAAATATGTTATAACAATATAATAAATATTTATTTTTTTTAAACATTATTTATATTATATTATGAAAATAGATTTATTGATTTGATGTTTTTTTTAATAAAAAAAATGATATGCTGCTATTGTAATATTATTTTTGTTATAATTTATTAGTGATTTTCACACGCCCAAAATTTGATACAAAAAAAAATTTTTGAAGTTCAAAAATAATAAGAATTTTAAATTTTCTTTGTATTTGCGGAAATTTTTGGATAATTTTATTATAAATAAACAATCTTTTAGGTGAAATCTTTTATAGTTTTTTTTAATCATCTTTGTAAAATTATCTATTTTTTTGTATATTAATATAGGTGGTTTTTTCTAAATATCTTTTTTAAAAATATTTATATTAAACTTTTTTATTTTATATGTATTTTTAAGGAAAATATTTTAATGTGACAATTGTCATATTCGTTTTTTTTAAACATTTTTGAAACTTTTTGACATATTTATATTGTAAAGAGGTTAAATTATAAATTCAATGAACATGTAACATATAAAAGTGACAATTATCATAATCGTTATTTTTAAAGATATTTTTTTTGACGCTAATGGACAAAAATATGTATTTTTAACATGTTAAATTAAAATTTTATGAAGATGTACTAGATAAGTGACAATTGTCATAATCGTTATTTTTAAATTTTTTTTGATGTAAATGGGCTAAAATAAGTAATGCTAACATGTTTAAATAAAACTTCAGTGAAGATGTACCCTAGATAAGTGACAATTGTCATAATCGTTATTTTTGAAGTTTATTTAATTTTTTTGACGCAAATGGGTAAAAATATATATTGTAAATATGTTAAATTAAAATTTTATGAAGATATACAGATAAGTGACAATTGTCATAATCGTTATTTTTAAAGTTTTTAAAATTTTTTTGATGTAAATGGGCTAAAATAAGTATTGCTAACATGTTTAAATAAAACTCAGTGAAGATGAATCCTAGATAAGTGACAATTGTCATGATCGTTATTTTTAAAGTTTATTTATTTTTTTTGACGCAAATGTGTAAAAATATATATTGTAAACATGTTAAATTAAAATTTCATGAAGATGTAGTATATAAAAGTGACAATTGTCATTTTTAAAGTTTTTGTAAATTTTTTTTGACGAATGGGTTAAAATATAGATTGTATACATGTTAAATTAAAATTTCATGAAGATGTACCATGGAAAAGTAACATTGTGTCATAATCATTATTTTAAGTTTTTGAATTTTTTTGACGAATAGGTTAAAATATAGATTGTAAACATTAGAGGTGGGAGCGGGCCATGAAATTAGGCGTGACCCATCCTGCCATGGTGGGTCAGGCGTGAGTGTGAATAAATTTTAAATTCAAAGGCGTGACGGGCCTTCCCAAAATTTTCCGCGGGCGTGATCGGGCGTGAACATAAATTTCCCGTGAATCACGGAAATTTTAATTTTTATAATTGTTTTTTATAAATATAAATTTGCAATTTTATAATAATATTATATATTTTCTTATTTAATTTAGTTCTTTTTTAAAAAAGAATAATTTATGAAAATTAAAAATCTTCCGCATTTTATAAACAACATCCGGTATCAATTTGTTAGTTCTATTTTCTTTTTATGTTTAGGTGTTTCTTATCGTGAGACTTTATGTTAAACCTTTTACAGAAAAGTCTGTTATATTTTATTTGTAAAGATCTTCAATCTTTAAATGCAACAGAAAGTGAAGGATTTTACAAGCTAGGTCAAGAGATAAATGTTGATGTTACATATGGATAACAAAATATAAAAGTTGTGAACCGGAAAACTCTCATGAATACTATAGGTCCAAAAATATACCATGAAATATAATTTTAGATTAAAAGCATGATCATTGTCCATAATCACTGATATTTGGACGGATGACTATAAAAATCTAAGTTTTTAAACCATTATAGGACATAATATCATTAAGGATTTTAATTAAAAACATTTGTTTTGGCCACAAGGGCAATGGATGAAAAAAACGTCAAAATTAGTGTAGTCAATTCAATTTTAGGAGAATATACAGAAGTAGAAAATTACTTAAATAAATGTATAGTTGTAATTGATAACGGAGCAAATCTTATAAGTGCATTCAAAGATGACCAAACGCTAGCATGTTTATGCCATATACTAAATAATATTATGCATTATATTTTTGACAATTGTTTAACTGAAATAGCCTTAAATATAAATGGTGTAAAAAATAGTACAATATTTCAAACAATCTACAGCTAATATCAAACTAAGCCACACCCTTAAACAATAATAGCGAGAATAACGAGATGGAACTCTGTATATATCATGATACAGAGTTTCTTAAAATCATATTCTGAAATACAGGCGTACTTGTATAACAAGCAAAAATTAAATAAATTAGCCACAATTGATATCAATATCATACGCGAGTTAGATAAATTTTTATCAATATTTAAAGAATGCTCGGATAATCTGAGAGCAGATTCTCGTCCCACAATAAATAAAGTTTTTCTATGGAAACAAAAATTATTAAAATTTTGTTAACCTTCTAAACGTGATACAATAATAATCAAAACCTTAAAATACAGAACAAGATTTCTTTTAAAAGATTATTATGCAGCCACTACATAAGGTAGGCTTAATTCTAGATCCGAATTTCAAAAGACAAGTTTTTAATAAAAGAAGAAAATGATATATATAAAACAATCTTAAAAATGCTAAATTATATAAAATTAGATGATATGCATAAGTCGATGCCAACTACCATTTATAACTTTCCTAACTTGTCCTAAACTTATAAAAAAACCGTATATTCAAAATGATCAATACCAACTATCACTTTCTTAATTCATCCTACACTCATAAAAGACCGCATATTTCTAGATGAGATGAAGCATCAACATCACCGATGAAAGCTGTGAGGATGGACTTAAAAGATTCATATAAGATAAATAACGACATTATTTTGAAGTTTTGGAAGCAGGAATATTCATTTCCTTTTTTGAGAAAATTATTGAATAGAATTTATCAGCTGCAAGTTCGGCTTCTAGTGAAAGGTTATTTTCTGTAGCCAATCTCTTGCTAGAGGAAAGGCTTACACAATTGAAATAAAAAAAGTTGGACATTCTTCTATTTCCAAATAAATTTCGATTTATAGATTGTATTTATTTTTGTTATTAATATGGATTATGAAATTAGAGAAATAAATAGAATGAATTTAAAAAAGTGTAAAATTATAGCAATAGTTTTGAAAAATTAAAAAACACCGTGAATTTTCGGGCATTACGGGCGTGAATCAGAATATTGCTTG